ACTGAGGGGCATTACCCTCGAATGTCAACTTTGTTGCAAGGAAATTACTTCGTAATTGTGGGGTCCCGATAGGTAAATTTTATAAGGGACAAACGGTCGAATGAACCGTGCCCATATAGGTTACTCGAGCCCTAACATCAAACATGTACGCATGTATAATCATCTATTGAAAGAAGTATTTTTTCTTGCCGATATCTCATGCCTTAGAAAAATTTTCTACTTTACAATTTCATACTCTTGATCTATTGTGTAAACAGGCTTAATGGCCGATCATAACGGAAGTTCAAACAACTAAACCCACGCTCGGGGACTGCCGTCTGAAAAACAAACGAGATCGAATTATTAAAACTTCGAGATCGTAAGACCTTAAAGGCGATCCTCGATTTTTATAAGCCACGGCCACCCCACTCGGGGACTGACACTTCGGGCAAGCTCGAAGTGAAACGGGAAAATATGCCTAAGAGGTAAGTCCCAAATAAAAAGGCTACGGCCGAATTAACACGGTTCGGAGACGTCCGAATTCCGTAATAAAACAAGCCTTAAGATATTTTCATAAACCGGTTAAAAGGGCTACCCTCGGCAAAATTATAAAGGGCTTTGATAATATCAAGCCTTAAGAACTCTAATGAGTACAAAATTGTTCGAACTCTCGAACAATCCCTTATTTCATGCCAAAGCTTACAAATTTTGCAAATGCAAATGATAAAAACTTTTCAAGCCGAAAAAGGGGAAAAAAGCCATAAACATTCTTTATACAATGGCCATGTCGGCCTAATACAAAAGCCTAAGGGCAATCTTTTGCTTTGAGTTCGAAAGATCGTCCTTGTTCAAATAAAACCTAAGGGTTACCTTATTTCGAGTCCGAGCAAGCACTCACTCGATAAAAACTATGCTAGTTCGGTTTCGGTCGAATTACCTGAACCTCGAACCTATGAATAAAAATTTCATAAGGCATAAATAAAGCACAACTTTCATAAGGCAGAAGTGAAATGAAATTTCACAAGACAAGACAGAAAGAGAAAGATCTTCATATATGTCAAAAGTTATTTACAAGGGCAACATGACCCGATAAAAAACTTCTTTACAAAGGCCGGTTGGCCTCAAAACAAAAACGAAAATTACTAGGCCTAAGCAACACGGTCCTTATTAGAGGAAACTTCTTCGTCCTCAGAATCTTATCCACCAGATCCACTCATATTCTAGGAATCCACATTGGGAAATGCTAGATTCCGAGCCTTTGCTTCCTTAGCTTTGGCGATCTTGAGTTCAGCAGAGACATCAAAACTTTGAGCAAGGACCCCCTCAAGAGCCTCCATTCGAGCCTGCCACTTCGAATGATCCACTATGCCCTTGGCTTGCTCGAGGGTGGCTTCGTCATCGACCTTGTATTGGGCCACAGTAGCATGGGCCTTAGTATTGGTCGTGGCCGCTTCAGATCTGGCAACCTCGAGCTCCTTGGCCAAACCGGCTAAATTGGACTCAAGCTCCTCGACCTTTTTCGCCTGAACCGAGGCATTCTCTTCTGCAGATCGAAGCTGCAACTTGGCCGAATCTAGCTCTACTTGAACGGTTTCCTTTTTTCCAGCCAAAATATCCATACACCCCTTGAACTCTTCAGCCTCGGCTTGCACTTTGTCTACCTGCCTTTGGAGGTCCTTGATCTGTTCAAACCTGCAGAATTGGATTGTTAGTTGTTATCGCCGACTCGTCCTCACTATCATGAAGAACTCGGAATACCTGCTCGGCCATCTCAACATGTTCATCTTGAGCCGCCACCAAGTCTACATGAAGCTTCTCACTAAGAAGCTTGTAAGTATTGCATTTCTCAGTGAGGCCTTGGACCTCGGCCTTGCGTTCCTCTCGGATTCGAAGAAAGGCCTCATGATGCAACACCGAAGCCTACAAGAAAGGAAGAAAACGTTAGAGATATCTACAATACTAAATCATAAAGAAATAATGCAATGGCCCTTGAACTTACCCGATTTAGAGCATGCTGGGCCTCGTTGAACAAACAACCAACTTTCATTGCATCCACCTTGGCTTGGTCCTCTTCAGTGACCGAGCATCGAAGATAGCTAGCCACCCCTATGGGGGCAGAGAAAACTTGAGCGTCCTTCGGGATCGAGATGATAAGTGGTCGCTTACGCTCGGGATCAACACTAGGAGCCGGGAATCGGTTTGTCAGTTTAAAGCTCGAGGAAGCCTCACTCGAGCTCTTCCTTAGTACATCCAAATCACCTAGACCGGTGACGTCTTCTACCTCGGCGAAATAACCTCAGAAGAAATCTTCCTCTCCATAGGCTCCCTCCCCGTGACAAGTCTCTACAGCTTGAGCATCACGTATCATCGAGTCAGGAACCGGAGGGAACGAGGGGGAACCCCCGATATCTATTGCCCTAAGTAGGTCTTTCGAGGCATCATCTTCGTTCCGGGAGCCTCGAGCCCGATTTCTGCGCCAGCGTCGACAACATCTTTGATAGAATTTCCACTTCGAGGTGAGGCAACTTTGGTTCTTTCCGGCTTGGGCTCATCAGGTCGGGGCAAAGCGGTTCGGCTCCCGCCGGTCCAATGGTTCTTTGAATCTCAGTGTCAGCTCGCACACGAGTCACCAATCCATAGTTTTCTTCTTCTTCGTCTTCATCTTCGGTCTCATCCAGTAGTTGTTAAACGGACTCCAGAGTTACATGGATAACATCCCCCTTAGGCTTACGGGGCCTCCTACCCGACCTTTTCTTTTCCGGGCCTGGAGAACTCGGAGCCTCCTTTCTTTTCTTCTCTTTGCCCTGCTTCGGGGCAGATGAAGAAAAAAGTGCCTCTTTTCCAGCAGAGGGGGGCCTCATTGGTACATCCTTCCCGAGGCCTACAAAACGGGAAAGATGAGTAAGTACAATAATGAAGCCCGAATGAAAACCTTTCTAAGGAAAGAAGATTGCCGTTTTTACGGGCCTCCCATTGGCCCTTTGACAACTCCATCCAGGCACGCTCGGAGTAAGATTTTTTTGATACTAATCCCTCGACCCATTGCCTCAGGTCGGGGATCACTTCCGGCACAACGGCCACAGCTGCAACGCAAAAACTTGGATGAGGGGAAGACAAGAAGTAAAACGGAAAAAATAAATATTTCAAGGGCAAGGTTACGCTTCATGTTCCACTTTTCAGGGAACGACATGTCTTCGGAAGGAATTAGATCCGAAGTCTTTATTCGAAAAAATCTACCCATCTAACCTCGGTCTCGGGTTTTGTCTATGCTCGAGAACGGGGGTTTGGTGGCTCGGCAGTAGAGCTTGATCATGCCTCCACGATAAAGTCGGGGGCCGTAGAGGCGCATGAGGTGATCGAGGGTAAAAGGATGCCCCTCGATCTTGCTAACAAAGAATCGGAAGAAGATCACGATCCTCCAGAACAATGGATGGATTTGACCTAGGGCGACATCGTACCTCTTGCAACAGGCAACGATGATAGGGTCCAAGGGACTTATCGTGAAGGAGTAGGTACAGACGCTCAGATACCCCTCCACGTGAGTTGTGATGGATTCCTCGGGGCTAGGCACTACTATATCCTTGCCTACCCAGTTACACTCCTCGTTTACCTTCTCGAGGAGACCTTCTGTAATCGTACACATGTACCTCGATATTAGTTCACATCGACCCGGTGTCGAGGGTGTATTCTCCACCTTGAAATCAGCAGCAGTGGCATACTTCGTCGGAACGAAGTCCCCGAATGGATGTTCCGCCGCGGCTGCGGCGCCGGCGGACTTTGATAAAGAAGCGGTTTTCTTGTGCGGAACGATTTTTGATGTTTCAGCCATTCTTATATGTAGAGTAAGATGATATGGGGGATGAGAAAACTTAGTGTTTTGCAATGAAACGAGTAAAGAAATCGCAGGAATTAGAAACACAAAGATCTGAGGAAGGTGAAGAACTGAGAAAGTTAGAATGAGAAAGAGTTGAAGGTAAAGTTTGAAGGATGAAGAAAGATGCATTTATAGGTTGAAGACGACGGTTCAGTGACAGTGATGGCCGACCATCGACTATCAAGCATTAAATGCCTAGAGAACTGTACCGACGGGACGTTTCGGTCACCTCTGTCGCTTACGTCACGGTGATGACGTCATGACAAATTGGGGTAAAGATCGAGGAGTCAATTCGTTTCTTGTCATTATACTCCAAAAAACGAGAGGACTATCTGTATGCGGTTAAAATCGGGCCCACTTGATTTCACTGATTAACCGAGATTAGGGGGATGGATCAAGGATCGGCCCCGTAGTACATCAGACCGAGACATGAGGATAAGGTACTGTGTCCGGGATTCGAAGTACCTGTCAAGATCGAGACCAGTAATGATCGAGACCAAACGAGATAGACATCGAGCGAGATCGAAGATAGCATAATAACGGAAAGGCGAGATATCCGTGACTGGTCGAGAATCATGGCGAAAATCCCGGAACAGATCAAATCACAAGCGGTTGTTCAGCTAATCATGGGATTTCCTTCTGTAATTAGAATTGTACCATAAGTGGAATTCCTCTACTATATAAAGAGGGGTTCTAATCATTTGTAACCATCTTGTTCTCGCATATCAAAACAATACAACACTCTTTTTCTCTTATACTCTTTTGTTCATCAGTTTATTTTATATTCGATAGCTCTATTCTCAGTCAGTTCGAGGGCGACTTAGCTCGAGGGCTGAATTGCATTTCAATATGGTTTGCTTCACTTTGTTGTTAATTTCTATTATTAATCATCATATTTATCAACTGGTACTAGGTGAAATTACGTTCCTTAAAATCACGTATAAGTTTAATTGTTATCCGATTTTAAGGGTAAACAGTTGTGATGCTGTAGCCATAATCCAACTGGAAAGAAATACGTGAAGGACAAAAACATCCTCCACTTTATCACACACTGTTGCTATCAAGCATATGCCATTTTCTCATCTTTGGGTACACAGGTCGTAAATACTTAAAAAAAAATTTAACAAATAATCTTTGATCAGCAGCATAGTAGAACTTGCAATTACACATGCACGTGTTTATGTGATGTGTATGTATGTAACATAGATACATATCCATATCATGTGGAATTATTTCATGTTAATGGTTTGTTTACACAGGATTGACTGAGCTTTTCGACAGTGGAAATTATCTAGCTGAAGGAATCAGTCAGTGGTAAAATATACAATATGCGTGTTGGTAATAGACTCATAAATTCAATAACATGAGCATTATAACTCGCCTGCAGTTGCACAACTTTGCAGTTGTTTGACCTCGAAATTGCATGGCAATATACAGCTCCCTCTTCAATTCACGTGGGAGGGATAGGCTTCCTTTTAGGTGTGTCCCAGACATGTTAAGCTGGCATGTACCGACCATTTTTATGGAAGTCGTTTTTGCAGAATACGTAGTTGGACATGCAACTATGATGACTGAAAATGCAGTATGTCCATCTATTTTTTCGGTGCTAGCCTTATTGGGCAGATAGAGAACGCAACACAGCGAGCAGCTTTTGCCAGCATGAAGCGTTCATTTTCTGTCAATGGCCTCTCAATGACCTTCATAATATTTGCATCCTAATTCATATTAGATAGAAAAAATTGTCGTCACTGGTTCAACGCTTACATATAAGCAACAATTTAATCATACTACAGTAATGATGAAAAGTAAAAGGAAATATTCTAGATCATCAGTAAAACAGACATTTTGCATTATTTTTATGCAACTCTGAAAAGAAAATTAATGAGATAGGTATTGATATGTTAAGATGGGAATTAGATGTTTCAATGTTAACGATTGTCGTCCTCCAGCCTTTTTATGAAGAGGAAGTAAAACTTAACTAACCTTCTTTTGTTGTTGAACAGTAGGCCTCACACTGGCAACATCACCAACAACAATTACATTATTGAGATTTCCACTTTCATCTCTTTCAGTTGGTGAAGAGGTTGAATGCCTCCAGTCTCCACTGATAATGTACTTATAAAGGTACCTGATAAACAAAGATGACTTTGTAAGCAGCAAATTAACCTAAGAATAAAAACAGGAAAATCATAGTAAATATTGACAAAAAGTAAACTCTGGGGAGTAAAAGAAACAGAAGGGTAAAAGCATAAGAATTGAAAAGATCACGGGAAAAAAGAAGACATTTCATCTTGGAAAAATGGTACGTACCATGTAACAGAAATTCAAACTGACAAACATAACCTATGACATGCAGGACTATAGATTTAAAGCGGAAGGTTAATTTTGTTGAGAAGAATAAAGTGACTGGTTTCAGAAAGAAAAAAAAAAAAGCACGGACAAAAGACGGTTCAGCTTCTTTAAGAAAACACTTCTAAAATTGGTATATCATTTTGCTCTCATCTTCATAGATTCTTAATTTAATCATTCTGTAGAGTCATCACTACAAAAACAGCCAAAACAAGTTTGGATCTCTCAGAACAGAGAAATTCAAAAAAATTAGTCGAGATGGGCCTAATGAAATTCTGCTGTGATGCAGAAAAAGAAAAAGGATGACATTGAAAGGCATGAGCGTGATTTGTGATACAGCAAAAAGAATCATCAAAAGAAGGATAAAGGATGACACTGAAAAGAGAACTAAAAAACTCCACGTACAAGCTGGAAATCATTATAAAATCTTGGTAATCACTAACACTACTATGGCTGACAAAAAGAGCCAAAGCTTACTTTCCCTGTGAAAGTCTAACTTCAGCCTCAAATCTTGGGCCACCTTTGTGGACTGCCTTAATTGGTTCTTTCCAGTTACCTGTAAAATCTCCAACCAAGTACACATCCTCCCCCTGTTTAAAGAAGTCATATGAAGAGATACTTAAAAGTAGATACCCTCATTTAAAACGCACATGGAAGAGAACAACAGAGCAACACTGAGTACGCAGCATTCTTTCCAAGAATCAGCTTCGACCAAGCAAAGAATGCAACATAAAATCTTCAATTTCACTGCTGATTTTGTGATTCATAATAACATCTGAGGACATCACCAATAAGCTCTGGAGATGATTAAATTATTACCTCGTGTCCGTTCCACACAAAGGTTACTGCATGTGTTGCAGGCCCATCATGTGCACCAGTTTCCACCATCGCTATGAGATCCCATGTTGCCCAGGCAATAGCTGGTCTGCAACCAATATGTTTCGACAAGGTAAATCGAGAATCTTCATTGTACATGGCATTATTTTTTGTTCCTAACAGAAGTTCAATTTTCTAATTTTGTGATTAGAGTAAGAATGGCAAAATAAGCAAGAGCTAAAATAGGGATCACAATTGTGAACTATATAAGATATCATGGCTAAATATCATTTTCAAAAAAGCATATCATGGCTAAATATATATACATATATATATATATATATATATATATATATATATATATATATGAAAGCAAACTTCCCATATTTAGTGTTGCTATATCTGTCGCGTCATAATAGAACACCGGTCTTCCAATATTCATACATTCGTGTGTTTTACCATTTTACAATCAGAAGAAATGCAAGTATAAATTTTTTTTTATTATGCCCATGGTAAATAGATCACCGAGATACACATGCAAGTGCTTATCCAATCAAGGCCTCTAACGAATATGAGAGTTGAGGAGTAGAACCTGTCAGGCTTGCATGAATGCAACCCAGTAACAAAATTATAGGCTGCATGAAGGGAAGTATCTGTCATCCAGTGAAGGTAAGCTATTACACAAGCAGGGGATCTATCAAAACCAGTTGTACATGTCACATAGACTCTGTGGTTCTTTTTCAATAGGCGTAGAAGAAGACCAACGCAAAACGGAAGTTTCTTTCTCATGTCAAATGAATCACCTTCCCTGCGAAAGAAATTAAAACGCAGAAGGATTAAACAGCAAACCCAAGATAATGGAATAAAGCTAAGCTCAATAGGGTCATTTTTACTCCCAATATGCAAAGAAGATTTCCTATGATATAGGCAAATGCTACAACTTCTGAAGAGCTAACAGTGCATCTGTACAGGCATCAGCATCGCATTTCCACTACAACATAGAGACAGACTTCATTTGAAGAAGTTTAAAAAAGAGAGCTCTTAGGAGTGTATATGCTAAAAGGAACTGGAAGTATAAAACAGATTGTCAGCTTATTGACCTACTTCCAATTCAACAAAAGTATACTTTTTATTACCTTATGGGATAGTTGATCATAAGGATGTTAAACCTTTGGCATGATTCATTGATTGTGTTGACATTAATTCCCCAATTTTCAGCCTCGATCCCACTCTGAAAATTCAGTACAGCGGTGATCCCCTGATGTAGATATTCCCTGGGTTAGTTTTAAGTAAATAAACAAGGAATAATTATCCTGATGCAGATATTCCCTGGGTTAGCTGTAAGTAAATAAACAAGGAACAATTATCCTGATGCAGATATTCCCTGAGATAGTGCAAGCAAATGAACAAGGAATGATTAATTCTCCAAAGGAACACTGCAAAATGGCCAAGATCAAGTTACGCACCAATTTGTCCTGCATCAGGCAACCACTCCCATATTAAGAAATAAACTAGAGAAGTTCTTACCACGTCCATCAATTGCAGTTCCATGATTTTTGCTGGTCGTTTTATTGTTAATTTCAGAATCAAGCACACACGTTCTTTTTGTATAATCAACTCCTTTTTTATTAGTTTTATGATGAAGCTATCAGGCCTACATCAAGCGACTTTCTTCATGCTGCAACTTAAATGTGGGACAACCATACAAATTCTTAAAGACCACAAGTAAACAGCAGGTCATTATGAAGTTGTTTTCACCATCTAAAACCATTAACGTACTTCTTTATGCATACACTCATATCTTTTATTTTGGCCTGCTATTAAGGGTTGCTTAATGATATTCACGATACACTCTGTTCTATCAGATAGCGAACAAAATCTCTATATAGACGGAAAAACCCAGAGATGTATGAGACATGATTCTTAGTAAATTAGTTGTACACACTTCATGAATAGAAAGGGAAGAAGTAATTATCTTCAATCCACAAAAGCATAGCCTCACCACAACATCTGACAGCATTTCTACATTAGCTTCCTTTTGTATGCACGATCCCACATAAATTTGCTCCGTAATCTGACAAAGGAAGCAGGCAATGTGCTTCAGAACTAGGCAACAGAAAAGCATCTATTTGGAAAGAAAACTTTTACACAGTTTGATGAAAATGGAGTTCAGTAAAATTAAAAAGAGTAAATTTCCTGGAGGCTCTTCTCTTTCTTCCAGATTCATGTAGGAAGTTATCAGTTATCACCACATAAATCTCAAGCAGTTGAATATTAATCTTTTGAGTAAAGGAAAGATTGTGCACAGAAAATCTCAATATCACACCTTGCTGTAATGGATACCAAGATCATGATTGTAATACAGTTCTCCCTTTGAACGATCCAACGCCTTCGCATATTCTTCCAATGGGAAACTCCCGTGTGCCCATTCAGTATCTCCTATGTCTTTCTCAGAGAATATGTTGATAATTGGGCTAAATGGTAAAGAAGGGGTGCCATTCAGGTTTCCTTGTTGCCTGGTTTGATATTGATCACTTAGAACCTCCCATCCTTTTAAAGCTAGAAACTTGGGGGAAAATACGACAAATCCGCAGTTCCCACTGCCCTCAGCAGGAGTTCGCAAGTTGGAGGCAAGTAAATTTTTGTTCCATGTAGCAACAGGAACACGACCTCTATTGTATTGAATATCAATATCATTCATAAGATATAGCTGGTGGATAGGAAATGGGAAAAATGGTCTCTCAAGAACCAGGCTACAAGGCCCTGAGTTCTCTTTCATCATCTTCCTGCAGAAGCCATTGCAAAATACAGTACACTTATTGAAACATTGCACTACTTCAGTCAGAAATAGACTCTTAGCTTTTAGCATTGTAGCTTAAAACGGGTATAATGTTCACATTTCATACTCTGTATCGCCGAAGTCTTTGATCTCTATTAGCCCCCCGCCCGAAGAGTCACTTGCCTTTTTCAATGTATCACCAACCATTATAATTCTTGATTTCTCGGCATTTCCCTACAAAATTACACTTCCACAAATCAAGAGATGTCTATATAAGGATGAACTCTATAGAAAATGTGAAAACATAGGCGGTTCCTGGATTTAGAGTCACCCAAGAGGGTATGGTCTCGTGGATACAACCTCTTTTTATGGGTCCAAAAAAAATTAAATTTTGAACCTATAACTTCAAAAATAGAATGTGTTCCACTAAGAATCTCAAAGTTTGAAAGATCCGCCTTAGGTGCTTGCACACACACACACGCATACACACACAGAGACACCTTCTTTATTAATTATAATTGCATATGTATACATGGTATATACTTATGAGTTAAAGTTTTATGCACTGACAGTTGGTGTAAAAATTAGGCAATTACAAGTACATCGAATGATAAGCATCTCCAACCTAGTAAAAATGGTAGCTGAGTTGCTATCACATGTTAACTAATAGTGTAAAAAATCTTTACATTGTCCGTGTATATACACAGTCAGGTCAGTTATTAGGTCATTGCATATAAATTTCTATGATAAGCATCTATAAGTAACCTAGTAAAAATAGTAATTGAACTGCTATCACAAGTTTACACTATCAGAGCATATACACAATCAGATCAATACAGGTAAATATCTATGATAAGCATCTATAGGTAACCTGGTAAAGATTGTAACTAATGTGATAGTGTTAAAAATCTTTAAGATATCAGTATATATAACTTAAAATCATCTATGTATACATATGGTATATAGTAAACCTAAAAAAAAAAAAGCAAAAAAGAAAATAGAAGAATTAACCCAAATAGCCTGTGAAGGTATAAAATATGCATAATTTATGTATTACATGTGTATAATTGTGTATAATCAATGTATATCTATGTATATGACTAGAAAAAGTAAACAATTAATATGGCCAGCTATTTGTGTAAACATCCCAAAAAAATAGTAAATAAAACTACATTAAAATCACAGTTACTCAAATCTAAAGGTGTAAATTGCGAAAACTAACCCCTTTCTTAAGAGCATGAACAAAAACTTTGCCATCAACAGAAATCGCGAAGCGAATACCAAGCGGTTTTTCAAGTGTAACCATATACTCATTCAAATTCATCTTGAACGGCGAAACACTAGTTGTAGACATCGCATAAACCCTCCGATTTCCCCGTCGATTCACCGCCATACTAGCTTTGTACAGTCTATCGGTAAAGCACAGTTCCACTCCCCAAAATGACGAGTACATTACACATTTCTTAGAAAAATTAACTGAAGAGTGATCGAAAACTCTGTAATTTGGAACTTGTAGTGAACACATTGTTCAAATGATTATATCAACTACTTCTCAATTTTTTGTTTAATGTGATTTGATTATGTAGTGGAGTTTTTGCGTTGAGATTGGAGAAGGTTCTAGGGAATTGGAATGGAAGAAAAGTGATTAGGAGAGATGATGATGGGATTTAGCTGAATAAGAAATGCCGTTGATTTGAGCTAGGAGTTGAGAGGCAGAGGCCATATTTGCGCCCACTACCCGCTACGCCACGTGAGATTTTAGTAACCCCACATACCACGTGACTCCGGTCTCCTTTTCTATTTTGTCCAACACTTTGCAAATTGACGTTCTGTTTGACGCCCATTGTACTAATATATATATATTTTTTTTTTGGGTATACGCGGCCCCTTAACTAAGACATTTTATTAGACATATACTAAAGTCAAACCTCCTTACAATAGTCTCATTTGTTTTAATAATTTTTGGCTGCTATAATGAAGTGCTGTTATGGAAGACATACACTATAACATAACATAATAATTTGTTTCGAGAAAAACTTGACTTTCATAGTGAATGACTGTTATATAAGAATGTTGTTATAGAGAAGTCTGACTTATTTATTACACTTGATAACCAGCCAAAAAAATAGAAAAAGAGTAATACACTCACCAATGACATAACAAAGTGACCATTTAACTAAGGACAAACGGCGTATTAGTCTTAAAAAAAAATTATAAGGAAAAATTATATTTAAGGAATAAAAAGAAAAGAAAAAAATGTATTTTTACTCCTATCCCACACGCTCAAGCCTCCTACCTCCTTTCTTCTGCTACCTATTAGAGTCCATCCGCCGCTGTCCTCCCGCTGCCATCCCCTAAACCCAGTTTTTTTTTAATTAGTTTTAGATGTGATTTCTTTTTGGTTTTAGATTTGACTTTTTTGATTTTAAATATAATTTATTTTGGTAGAAAAGATAAAGGGAGAGAGAAAGAGAGTGATGCCAGTGGGAGTCTCCATTATTTTCGCGAACAAGGTGATCACTCCACCCCTACCCAAACATCGCCCTTTCTCTTCTTCACGATTTTCTGCCACTAATGGCACTAGTACCGTCGTCACCCCAGCGCACTGTCGTTGTCCTGCCACCCCTTCCCCTCCCCTACCACACTTTTAAAGTATGATATAATGTAAGGAACTAGAGAACAAAAGAATGAAAAACTAAAAAGTGTTTGGCTTAAAATGTTAACGAACAGTGTTTAAGCAAATCAATCAAATATATGGAGAAGAGGTAAATCGTAATCAAAGATAATCGACACTAGAGTATGAGTAATCCTTTGTGGTTTGGTGAATCGAAGCAGTTAAAGGACAAAGTTGTGTGATAATGTTATAAAAATCAGAGATATCTGTTTTTCAGAGAAAGAGAGAGAGAAATTGAGACAGGGAGATAGAGAGAGTGAGTAGAAATGTTATTGATCCAAAAAAATCCCCCTTTACACAACCGGAAACCCTCCTTATATAGCGGAGGAGTTTTCCTTTTACCGTATCTCAAATATCAAGAAAAAATACAAGATAAAGGTCAAGCACACGCTGCAGAGGGGCCGACATAGTTGTATGGTCCTCCCTCAAATTATCCTCAAGTCGCCCCTCGGGTCCGACTTTTGCCCATACGACGGGTCGTGGCCGTTTGAGGACGGGGTTGGCCAGATTCGACCCTATACAGTTAGTCCCTCCACTCGTCGAGGTCGCAGTGAGGTGCGTCCTTGATGGGCGGAACTAATGTCCTCGCTCTTTGGAGAGTTTGACCCCGCCAGGGGACCGTGACGTGACATATAAGAGGCAGTCATCATGACTGTCAGGCCGTCAAGGCGTGACGCCTTCCCCGATGTGACGTCAACAACTGCAGATGTCATCATTATGCATATTCTCGAGGTAGGAACTCAACAATTCCGGCGCTTGGTTTCCCGCTTTGGTTCAAATTCTGACTCTTCGATTCTTGCGCTTCCCAATCCTTATAAATAGGGGAGGGGTTTAACTTAACCGAAACTTTTGACTACTCACACTCCCTTCCTAGTATATATTTCCTTTTTCCGGTGCGTTTTCCTTGAGCGAGAATCCCCTTCCCTATATTGTGCATAGATCTTCCTCCATTATCACCACCATGCCTAAACCTTGCCGCGGCGACGAGATTATTCCGGCAGCTGCACCATTGAATCCGTCCTCGCCTTCTAATGACGGTGCGGCGGAGGGAGAAGAGGATATGAGTCCTCTGACCGTGGAGGCGCTGCTGCCTCAACGCACCTCATCACAGAATGATTTTTGTAAGGATTCCGCCACTCCGATCCCTGAGATTTCCAAGTCGTTGCAGAACCACCTGGAAGATCTCCGCGTTAAGTATAATGTACCGGCACATGTAGAGATGATTCCGGCCGGGGAGGATCATGTGACCGTTCACAGACTGGGATTTTGCGCCTTTTATGAATACCCGTTCACGATTGGCTACAACCTTCTCCTCTTTCCGTTGGCGGAGGAGTTTTGCCGGTTTTATAATATCTTCCCGGCTCAGCTTACGCCGTACACGCTGAAGATCCTCCGGCTGTTAACTACGTATACGGAGTTGGTGGGGTGTAGCGTTATGGTCCATCACCTCTTGCAGCTGTTCAGTGCCTGTTATATGAGGGGGACCATGGTACATTTACGAGGTCGTGGTACGAGGGGGTTGGTGGTTAAGACTGACGACCGGTCTAGCCGCGAGTTTTGGCGTAGGTACTTTTTCATCAGGACCGAGCACCTGGTCTCCAATCCCGTCGGGTTCCCGGAGAGGTGGAATCCAAAACGTAAGTGTCTCAGCCCGTTACGTATTTTTGTTTTCCACCGCTGTTGTTCTAGCCCTTTATGTTGCAGCTATGGCTCATCCACCCCGACCTGTTGCCAACCTTAGGGGATGGGTCACTGGTTTGCTACCCCACGTGGAGGGGACCCGTACTTGGCCAGCTTTCATGGAGCGCTACGGCCCAAAAGTCTCTTCAGGTAAACTTCCGATTTCTGTCGTGCATAGTTCGTGATTTCGCCCACTCGTCCCCTCTTTACGTATATTTTTCCTTTTGCAACAGGTCGTGGGGCTTCGAGGAAAAAGGCAGCGCCCCCTGTTTTAACGCGAGCCAATGCTGCCTCAGACGATCGAGACATATTGGTCGAGCCCTCTCGAGGGGATCCTTCTTCTACCCCTTTGCAAAGGGCTACCTCTGCAACCATGGTGGTGTGGGAGCCGACGCCATTGGCACTGGCCCCTCACCCAGTGGACGAACCTTCTGGTGGTGAGGAGTCGCCAGAGAGGAAACGGAGGAGGCTCGAGAAGGGCAAGGCTGTGGCGACTGAAGATAGGAGTGAGGTGCGTCGGCCTCGGCCAACTCCTAGACATGCGTTCATGGCCGACGCCATTCTTTTGGGGAGGTCGGCTCAACGGGGGGAGACCGCTCCAAGCGTTAGCCCTGCATGGGTCGTTGGGGGAAGGCCATAGACCAATGTTGAGGGGCCCAATGGCGCGGCAGAAGGGTCGGACTCTGACATCGCTTAGGAAGATGTCGACGAATTTGTGGGCGGCCTGACTCATGTAGAGACGGCTACGGAAAGTTCTGACCGTCGCATTACGATTCCGGCAACTTTCAATCTTCTGTCGAATAGTGAGCATGTCGCCTCGGCCTTTACTTTGCTGTGTGTTGCCCCTGAAAGCAGGACGCTCAGTACGGTAGGCGACGTGGAGCTGTCCCGTAGGGTGTCGGGCATGGCTTTACAGGTACCTTTTATTCCCTTCCTTTCGTGTTATTGTCAGGCGGGTTTGGGGTGTATTCGCTCACTTTTCCTCTTTTACAGACCCTTGTACTAGAGGTGGAGAGTGGACGTCGTGAGCGGAAGTGGACTGCCTCTTTAAGAATATGTTAAAGAAATATAGAAAGTACCGCTCTAAACATCAAGCGGAGGCTGGTAGGGGGCAGTCCCAGTCGGGGCGCAGGGGAGCCGAACTGGAGGAGGCGGACAACGAGCTGATGAGGGTTGTAGCCCGCAACAGCGAGTTAGAGGAGCTCCTCAAATCCAAAGATGACGAGCTCGAATTGAGCCGGGGGGTGGCGGCGGAGAACGCCGAACTGCAACGGAGAGTGGGGAGCTGACTGCTGAGCTCGATGCTAAGGCGGCGGAGATTCACAGGCTTTCATGACCTTCTGCTTCCCGCCCTTCGCCTGTACAGATTGCGCGTCGTAATGCGCATGAGATGTGGATTTTTGCAGAAGCCAAGGCCGATGTGTACAGAGAGCTTCATGTTGCGGGCCGGGCTATCGAGGAAGAAGTCCAGAGACGAAGGGACGAGGCTCGTGCCGCTCGTGAAGTGTGCGGTTACGATTCCGACTCTCCCGATGGGGGCGGGCTTTCTTCCGACAATGTCAACCATCTTGAATCCAGTTCGTGGTATAGTGATGTCTACCATTCGGGGGATGATGGTCAATCTTGACCGTATGTATATGTACGTTTTTTGTTTGCACAGTGTATTACGACCCGCCCATGGGGGTGAATGTAAATATGATTTTTGTTGTAATATAATTTTTTCCTTTATCGTTTGTTTGTTCGTCATATTGTTTAGTTTTGGTAGAGCCTTTCGTTTGTCGAGTTGTCGTGCCGTGGTTCGACTGGGGTCGACCTGATATCGCTGGCCTTAGCCGTCAGGATGCTACTGACTTTTGTCGAAGTAATGTCCGTCGAAGTTCGAATGAGGTCGAAGCTCGAGCGGGGTCGAACTACACTATTTTGATGGCGAAGGAACTTAGCCTGAGTCCCAGTTCGAGCGAGGTCGAACTGCACTATTTTAATGGCGAAGGCACTTAGCCTGAGTCCTAGTTCGAGCGAGGTCGAACTGCACTATTTTAATGGCGAAGGCACTTAGCCTGAGTCCCAGTTCGAGCGAGGTCAAACTGCACTATTTTAATGGCGAAGGCACTTAGCCTGAGTCCCAGTTCGAGCGAGGTCGAACTGCACTATTTTAATGGCGAAGGCACTTAGCCTGAGTCCCAGTTCGAGCGAGGTCGAACTACACTATTTTAATGGCGAAGGCACGTAGCCTGAGTCCAATTCGAGCGAGGTCGAACTGCATTATTTTAATGGCGAAGGCACTTAGCTTGAGTCCTAGTTCGAGCGAGGTCGAACTGCACTATTTTAATGGCGAAGACACTTAGCCATTGGGATGTTGCTTCGACTATCGTCGAAGTAGTACCCGTCGGGGTCCGAGCGAGGTCGAACTGCACTATTTTAATGGC